TCGACGGTGCCATCCTTTAGGATGTATCTCCGATAGTTGTTGGTCTTAATAACCTGATCCTGTATTGCACAGAAAAAACCCTCGGTTTCCCCGAAGAGATCACCAAAGCGTAGCCAGTGGAGGGAGGCTACTGTGTCTACGAAAGGCTCATGTAGAGCCTTGTAGAACCTCCCGTGGAGCTCCTTCTCCTTCCATACGGTCTCCCGGTCGGAAATGCTCTGCACTGCCGGGTCTTGCCATTGCTCGTTGGCTAAGGATAGAGGGGTAAGTCCTTTATCACAAGAAATGACGTCCTTATAGAATGGATCATCCGATCTCGCAAGGAAGTAATCACGGAGGCTGCACACTTCGCGATTATGCATGGTGAGCGCGCTCAAGAAGCCACGACCACCATGCTTCCGCGGCAAGTACAGCCTCATTACCGACGATCTCGGATGATGCATCCTATGGGACGTCATGGTAGTGCGGACTTTTCTATCCAGGGCGTTAAGTTCAGTCTGAGTCCACCTGAGTATGCCAAAGGTATACATGAGGACAGGCATGACCCAACCGTTATATGCGTGTGCCTTATTCACACCGGACAAAAGGCTGTTAAGCACTTTGGTCAAGCGTGCATAAAACACGTCGCAAACTGACTGTTTCATACCAGCCTCATCGATACCGATGTTCTGTGACATACCCAGGTATCGGTATGTTTCAGCCTCGGAAAGGGTTCTTAAGTTGACGGGCATAGATAAGTCTATGCCCTCAGAGTTAGCAACCCTTCCCCTTTCAACATGAAGGACCGCACACTTATCCGTCCCCAGCTCCATTCTAATAGAATTGCTAAATTCACACGTGATGTTTAGCAATTCCATAAGATGGGAGCGACTGGAGGCGAATAATTTGAGGTCATCAATATAGAAAAGGTGGGTCACTTTTTTATTATTATTGTTGTTATTATTATTATTATATATTCACATTATTATTATTATTGTTGTTGTGCGGAAGTGTGGCGCGCGCGTGCGTGCGCTTGTGTGTGTGTGTGTGTGTGTGTGTGTGTGTGTGTGTGTGTGTGTGTGTGTGTGTGTGTGTGTGTGTGTGTGTGTGTGTGTGTCTGTGATTGTGTCTGTGCGTGTTTTAATGATTGTATTTTATTTAGATATTGTAAGAAGATTTTCAGTTTGGACATAGTCAAGATTTTGCAACCATTTCAATACATATTTTTTAAATCTATTGGTGCTTAGAGTTATAAGGCTAACAATATTCTCGGTGGGAATTTTATTATATATGTATGGTGCTATGAAATTGTAGTGTCGTTGCATAAAGGTGGTTTTGGTAGTGGGTATAGGGCACCGAAATCTTCTTTTACTGGTTCGTGGTAGTGAGTAGGCAGTTACACGGTGGTATCTCAGGAGAGCTTGAATTATAAACAACTTGCGAACTGAGAGTACCTGAGTCTCGTTGTAGACTTTATTAGTAGGATGTCGGTACGGTAGGTGCATTAGTACTTTTAAAATTGCTCTTTGCGCGCGTTCAAGTTGAATCATTGTTGTTTTTGATGCGTTACCCCACGTCGTCACACAATAATTAATGATACTTTGGCAGAGCGCTTTATAAGTCTGAATAAGAATTTTTTTACTAGCGACTGTTCTTAGTTGTCTAAATATATATATATATATATATATATATATATATATATATATATATATATATATATATAAGTCTTCTAACCCGAGAACAGATGCTAATGATTTGTTCTTTCCAGCTCAAATTATCATCTACTTGAATACCTAGGTATCTAATACATCTGGCTTGCTAGTTAATGTGCTGCAATTGCATTGGCTAGTAAGCTTTCCATTACATGGTAAAGAATGTAGTGTAATTGTAAAGTCTTGAGCTGGACCTGAAGTTGCAGACCTCGAGAAGCAGAGGTATTTGGTCTTTGAAATATTTAGTATGAGTAAGTTATTCTCTACCCAAGCTGAGACATTCTTAAAACAGGTTTCTGCAAAAGTTTGTACTTGTTTCCAACTCTGCCCATGAAATAGTAAGACAGTGTCATCAGCAAATATTAGCACTTCCGTATTAGATGTTAATGCGTTTGGAAGACTATTAATATACGCCAAGAAGAGAGTCGAGCCTAATGTACTGCCCTGTGGAATACCGAATCCACAGGTTGAGGCGTCACTTAGGTCTTTATTTACTCTAACGTATTGCTGTCTACCTGCCAAGTAACTATGGAACCATTGGTATACATGACCGCGGATGCCCAAGCCCTCTAGTTTAGACAATAGTATCGGAATTGATACTGTGTCAAAGGCTTCTTTAGGTCAAGAAAAACACCAATGACCTTCTCTCCTCTATCAACATAATAGTTAATTAAAGATGTCAACTTCAATAAGGCGTCATCCGTTGACCTTCCTTTGCGAAACAAATACTGATAATCAGTTAATAGTTTGTTTTTCTCTAAATAAATAATTAACCTACGGTTGATCAACCCTTCCACAATTTTTGACATGGTAGATAGCATAGAAATCGGTCTATAGTTCGAGACATCTTGTTTGTCCCCCATTTTAAAAATTGGAGACACGATAGCCGTTTTAAATAAATCGGGAAATATTCCCTGTTCTAAGCTAAGATTACAAAGATGTGCAATTGGATATACAAGGTACTTTTTTGCTAATTTGACAAACCTAGTGGAAATGCCGTCATGACCTGGTGCACTGTTAGATTTTAGATTATTTATTATTTTATTAATTTCATATGGGTCTGTGGGTGCGAAAGACATAGATTGAAGCTGAGAGTTTGATTGTACAAACGCTTGCCTTGCTAATTCGAGCTCCGTTTTATTTAGTTTCTGTAGGATGACGTCCGCCAGACTTTTACCAATGGTTGTGAAGTATGAGTTGATCTTGTTTAACGATTCCTTTGTAGTGCTCCCAATCTTAAGCAACTCTGGAGGCACATCGTTTTTCGTTTTCATATTACAAATGTCCTTTATTATATTCCAGGTTTTTTGATATTTTTTTCACTTTTTAGTAGTTCCTTTTGATAATACTGCTGCTTCAAAAATTTTAATATTTTATTGCAAGTGTTCCTATATTTTTTATGTGTGTTAATTGTGTCTTCATTCGGTCGTAGTTTGGCCCTTTTATGCAACTTATCTCTTTTACGAATTGATCTTACAACGCCTATCGTGATCCAAGGCTTAAGAGGTGCTTTCTTTTTGGGTATGTACTTAGTGCTAGTGCACTCCTTAATTATATTCGTAACAATATTGACAAGATGTTCCGCAGTTTGGTTTACATCACGCAACTTAAAATAATGTGACCAGTCCATGGCACTTAGATTATTTAACGCCCGGGCATAGTCTAGTACCTGTTTTGTGTGTGTGCTTTTTATCTTTGGCAGTCGGGCGTTTTTTATTTGTAATAGGATAGGACTGTGATCAGTTAATGGTGGAAAAACCATGGTTTGCCATTTTTCAGTCGTCTTTATCATAAAGTGATCGAGACAGTTGTTGAGCCTCGTTGGATGTGTAACACCTTGTTCTAAACCATGAGTAGCTAATATGCACAGATATTCATTTAATTGATTATTATGAATGTCGAAAGGCATCGTATTAATGTTTATATCGCCTGTAAGAATGATGTGCCTGGTAGAGGATTTTTGTAACAAGCTATCTAAAGATTGTAGATATCGTCGAGGGTTTGCGTAACAGGGTGGTCGATATGAACAAATAACCGAAAACCTATCTAAATCAAGGCAGTTTCCCTCAATTAAGTTCGGTTCAGAGGCGATAACTGTAAAGACCTTACGAACATATACCACTATGCCATCATTCTGATTTAAAAGCTTTTTAGAGTAATGTACATTGTAATCGGTTATATTTGGGGGAGGGATATCCTTTCTTGACCAGCATTCGGTTAAAACTATCATATCCATTGTTTTATCAAGTGCCGATAAAAAAGCCAATAGCAGATCGAAGTTGCGGTTTATACTCCGTATATTTGCAGTAAGGATGCAAAAAGTTTCGGAACCATCACGACATTGCAAAAGTTGTGAGCATCGTCAAACAGAGAACAGTTGGATTTATTTTTATCCAAGTCAGATGTAATATTATTATTAAACAGATTGAATTTCAATTGTATAAACACATAGTTTCATATATTTGCCTTTTTTACATGCAATTTGATAATTATAAGCAAACGTCAAGGCGTCGCAAAAACGGTACACTATTATAACAATATAAAAAACAATTCGTTTTGAAATGAACACTTGCTTTGCAATACGTAAATGTTTATAAATTATATATTTTAGTGAGTTATATATAAAAAGATGTATAACATTGTGTGATGTGTGGTAACAGTAGTAGTAGTAGTATTTTGTTTTGTGTATTGTGTACATAAGAAAAATATTTTGCTTTTTAAAATGTAGTAACCGGCCTTTGAAAACATAGAATTTAGTATAGTTAACTTTTATACAATTAAACTTATTTTCTACTGTAAATACTAACTTGAGCATGCAAAAAATTAAAGTTAATAGTCATTTTTCCCTGAGTTTTTGCAGATCTGCTTCGCAATCAATACGAATTTGTTTCATACCTTCTTCTTTTCTTAAATATATGCGTCCAAACGAAACCCAGCAGAATGTATATTTATGTTCCTTTGCAAATTCTCTACTCATATAAAACAGTTTTCTAGCATTTGCTGTCAAGGTTTCTGTTACATATACTGGTGTACGAGTCTGATTAATTTTTAAGTGGGTAGTATTTAATTTATTGTTTGCGTTTTCCTTATTAAATGATTTTACTGCTGAGATAAATTTATCCTTTGATATTTTGTTGATAAACTCTACAATTATAGGCTTATAGTTGTCTGTCTTAGTATTGTCCCTAAATGTATCCCTAATTCCCTGCTTTTGTATATCTACATTTAAAACACTACTTATATTTTGGACAATGTTAAATAGATCATCTGCGGTTTCAGTTCTTTGTTGTTTAGGTCTGTTCCGAATCTCTATAGTGGATCATTTTTGATTTCTCTCCATAGATTTATCTTGTTTTCGAGTTCTCGAATACATTTTAGTTGTTCTTGTTTTTCTTTATCTAGTGAAGCAATTTTTTCCCTTATCTCATCATAATTACTGCTCATAAATTTCACGCTTGTGTGCAATTCTTTGTATTCGTTGCGAAGCTTGTTTATGCTCATAAGAATTGTCTCCATCTTATTTTCTTGAGAATCCTTCCAAGAGTTCAGGGTACTAAGGATGTCTACTTTAAATGCCTGTAGCTCATCTTTGAAGTCTTGGTCATGTTTCCGTTTAGTTGCACGCGTACTCATGTTAGTGGAAAAATCTCCTACATCAGAATCATCCTTATAGGTAGAGATGTTGGGTTCGGAGCCACCGTGGTATGGTGATTCCCTGGGTTCCGTCGAGGATGCTATACGTGGTGGAGTCCGTTTAAATGGCATATTTATAAAGCAGGATTTTTAGGGTTTCTTATGATTATAATAACTATATAATAGTACAAAGTCGGCCCAGCTATTACGTATATTACATATATTTTTTTTGAGTGTGCTTCTGATGCCCTGGTACTTGTGATCGGTGTGGTCCAACGTGTACCGCCTTTAGCGCATACGCAGTCACAGTTTGGGCGGACACAATAGTGGCGCGGTGAGCGCTACACCAATGGAGCGCGTGCGCAAATCTTATTTCCGTTAATAAGTAAGGGCGGGGCTATGTCACAGCAGGCAATCTTATTCGCTAATTACTCACGTAGCAGTGTTCACGGAGATAAATTGTTATGTTGCTCTTCTTACACTGTTAACTTAGGATATTTTATGCGCGCCTAGTATTCGTATGTTTATCTTAGTGTTATTTAAATTAATAATTACTAACTAATATTTTAAGCAACACGGTTCACTATAAACACGTCTGTACAGTACAGTGGTCCGGAGGGAAAGCTCAACTAATGCCTCGTTGGTCAAGCGGTTGTAGTAGTGCGACTGCTGATCGGGTCAAAAGGGATTATGAGAGTGAGGGAATAGAGAGTGCACCCGTGCTTGCGCATACACTTGGGCACTATAATCCTGTCCTGCGCCGTTGGCTAGCCTCCGTTGAGGCAGGTTGCCGTGGCCGAAATTCGGTCTGGGGGACATTATTGTTATTATATATATTATTAGCCAAAAACAACCCGCTTCTATGCATAAATATTAAATTTACGGATCTCCTTAATCTACTAAATTGTGTAAATATTGTTTTAAAAATACCATCTAATTACAGATGTGTCTTATATTATAATGCATAACTCACGTATGGTATGCTGTGCTTAAAAATATCTACAGTGCCATGCAGTTAAAAATAGTAAGTAGTTGATTAACACTCAAATAAAAACCATGATATTTAAAAAATAATAGGTAGGAATAATATAAGAACAGTTCATTATCGGATAATGTGATTATTAAATCTCACTACAACGTAAATTTTAAGACATTTTGTTGTTGCAAAAGGGAATATTATACTTACTTCCTATCTCCTATAATATATAGAATGAATTATTATTATTCCAACGATTTAATCTCTTTATAACACTATAGTGAAATTTCTATCCAAATCAGTTCACAAGATTTTGCGAGATGCGTGCAGACGGACGTTTTCAAAAAAAATATTTGTTACAGTATAACTAGTATTTGACAAAAATTGGGTGTAAGGGGCTCCGGTAAGATCTTGAAGTCCAAGCCAACCCCGCCTGCACGTGGTGCACCTGCTAGACAACGGAAAGGGCTCTGGCGATGCTACTCCTCTGGGATTCGTCCTAGGGGTTCGGGGGTCAGACGACAGTCGCCCCGGTAATTGGCACTAAGCCACTTAAAACTGGAAAATAAAAGAAAGAGATATACGTTTAGGACTAGGGCGTCGCCGCATAACGAAGTGCATGGAGATCCATCATCCAAGATCCTTAACCCTGCGACAAGAATGCGAGGGCTACCGGGCCCCGTGCGAGCCCGGCTAAAGACGTTAGCACCAACTACGAAGATTCACTTTGCAAACTGGAACATTGGCACGCTTACGGGACGCTCCACAGAACTTGCGGCCATACTTGCCAGGCGTAAAGTGGCAGTGGCCTTCCTGCAGGAGACACGCTGGAAGGCCAACAGGAGCCGGAATATTGGGCACGGCTACAAGCTGATCTATATAGGCTCTTCTGGTGGGGAAAACGGTGTGGTGCTCGCCGAGCATTTCCACGATAGCGTCTTGGAAGTTAGACGAATATGCGACCGACTTATGGTAGTAAGGTTGCTTGTTGAGGGGGTCGTGACCCACTTGATAAGTGCCTACGCCCCACAGGTCGGCTGCAGCGACGCGGATAAGACGCTGTTTTGAGATCGGCTCGGAGATGTACTACGCGGCATACCGTTGTCCTACGATGTCGTATTGGGTGGCGACTTGAATGGTCATGTGGGCAAGGTGCAGGGGGAGTATGAGCGTGTCCACGGCGGCTATGGTTATGGCCGAAGAAACGCAGAGGGGGAAACCATTTTCTGAACCTGCACTGTACCTGGCTGTCGTGTAAACGTTCTTCAAAAAGAAAACCGAGCACCTGATTACCTACAGGAGCAGTCGGAACGCCACTCAAATCGACTATCTACTGAAGTCATATCAGTCGCGTGGCCAACTGTAAGGTCATACCCGGTGAGTGTCTCACTGCCCAACACCGATTTCTTGTCATGGATCTCTGCGTAAAACCCCGTCACAGACACGCCGAACGTTGCCGCCGTCAAATCAAGTCGTGGCTGCTGGATCAAACCAGATACTCAGAGTTTGACTCTGCCGCTGGGGATATTAGTCTCGACACAGCAGACAAGTCCGTCCAAGAGTGCTGAAAAACAATTCAGACAGCAATCACAAAGACGGCAAAGCAAGTCCTCGGCGTGGCGAAAGGGGGTCGCAAAATCGACAAGGAGATCTGGTGGTGGGACGCCACAGTCCAAGGTTCATTATGGAGAAGAAAGCACTCTTCAAAATGTGGCAAGCGACCAAATCTCCTGAAGATCGCACATCTTACAAGACAGCGAAAAGAGCTGCTAAGAAAGCTGTAGCCAGAGCCAGGCGTGACCACATGCAACCATTATATGCTTAGTTGGATACTCCTAAGGGGCACAAGCTTACATATAAACTGGCACGCTCTAGGGCGCTGCTGCAGAGAGATGGCGCTCTTATTTTCACGTTTTGCTGAATACTCAGCACCGGGAAGTGCACCCTCCCGAACAACTCCCGAACCATGGACTCCTGCCACCGATTACGCCTGACGATGTCCTCGCATCTCTTCGTCACATGGAGAATCGGAAAGCTGTCGGACCGGAAGAGGTGCCGATTGAAGCGTGGAAAGCGCTGGGGGCTCGTGGTGTGTGCATTCTTACTAACCTTTATAATAGAATCCTGAGAGACCGAATAATGCCCGATCAGTGGCGGCTTAGTATAATAACGCCAGTCTACAAGGGTAAAGGGTGCGTTCAGGATTGCGGTAATTACCGCGGTATAAAGGTGACGTCACACACCATTAAGCTCTTGGAGCGCATTATTGACACCAGGATCCGACAGAAGTGTACAGTATCGGACTACCAGTACGGTTTCCAATCAGGACGTGGTACCATGGACCCTATATTCGCCCTAAGGATCCTCATGGAGAAGCATAGAGAAAAGAATATGCCTCTGCATTTTTTATTCGTAGACCTGCAGAAGACCATTGACTGTGTTCCAAGGGAGATGATCTGGTGGGCGTTGCGGTCGAAGTTGGTACCAGAGATCTACGTGGAAATTGTACGTGACATGCACCGCAACTCCGATTCAATAGTCAGGATCGCTGTTGGTGATACCACCCCCTTCTCCATAACCGTCGGCGTGAATCAGGGCTCCGTCTTAAGCCCCTACCTCCTCATTGTGATATTACACGAACTGTCAGCCAGCGTACAGAAACTACCGCAGCCTTTGCTGCTTATGTACGCTGATGATATTGCACTGGTAGATGGGGACAAAGGACGGCTCACCAGACGCGTGCACGCATGGAGGGAGGCGCTTGAGAACGGCGGGCTGAAGCTAAATGTGGCGAAGACGGAGTATATGGCCTGCAACAGCACAGATCTGACATCTCTCCATATAGGCGACGACACCGTCGAGCGCACGGACAACTTCAGGTGCTTCGGATCTGTGCTTGATGCGTCCGGGGACATCAATCGCGACATCAAGGCCCGTATATCAGCGGCCTGGGCGAAATGGCGTGAGGTGACGGGTGTCATTTGTGACCCCAAAATGCCGGTCAAGCTGAAGGGACAGGTCTATAAGACCATCATAAGGCCTGTCCTTACATACGGCAGTGAAGCGTGGCCGGTGCTGGCGTTGCGTTGCTGCGAAACCGGCTGTTGTTGCATGTCACGAAGATGAACATGCTGCGGTGGATGTGTGACCCATGCGGAAAGACCATGTACGAAATACATACACCCGCGGCAGCCTCCATGTCCATACATTGCTGAAAAGCTCCAGGAAAGTCGCCTCCGCTGGTACGGCCACGTCTTACAACGACCGGCAAGCTACGTGGGAAACAAATGCCTAGACATGACCCTACCTGGTACCAGGAGTAGAGGACAGCCCAAGAAACGCTGGCTTGGTGTCGTACCGGATGCGCTCCAATGGGCTAGTTGCGAGGGACGTCGAAGACCGGGCAAATTGGAAGAGGAAGTGTAGGAAAGCGGACCCTGGGTTCTCCCGCGCTGGGCGGGATGAGCAACCGGGATAAACGCTAGGTAGAAGAAGAACTAGTATTGGACAAAATAGAATTCACTATAATAACTGAGTATGAATTTTACAGTGCAACACTTTTACAAAATGCTTTACTAATAGTACCCCTGATAACACAGTAAATTATTTTTGGAGTTGTATAATGTAATGCGGTTCTGTAAAGCAGTGTTAATACTATTTTATTTTATTGAAAATAAATAACTCGTATCTTTTACTATAACTTGTATTTTGCTTCAAATTTACAGCCCATGTGGATATAGAAAAATACCCATGGTCCTATAAACTTAACTTTTTAAACCGTACTTTTTGAAAACGACTTATCGGTGGAAATGCATATATGACTTGTGCCTAATCTATATTGCTGCCATGGTTACTGGGTCTTACGTACAGAAGACCATCGTTTTGCATTATAATATTTTATTTCTGGATGTTTCTGTTTACTTGAATCAATTTTAGATCGGATATATAATTTTTCACCTAATACTCACTGAATCCTCAATAATGAATGAATAGTACCTTCTTAATCTTGATAATGTTACGAGCTTGAGGTTCGTGACAATAAAATCCGTGAGGATTCACGGATAACACTTCCTTACTCTCTTGCCTAGTACAATGTTTGCAATCTTCAGGACAAGGTCTTCTTGACAATGCATCTGCATTTCCATGAGATTTCCCGCTGCGATGTTCGATCTCAAAGTCGTATTCCTGCAGTAGTTCAATCCACCTCGCAACTTGTCCTTCTGGATTTTTAAACTGCAATAGCCATTTTAGTGCAGCATGGTCAGTTCGTAAGTGAAATTTTCGCGTCTTGTGACACAATAGTTCCTTTCCGGTTTTGACAACGACTTGCTGAAGTACGCTGTCACGACCTCTTGGTCACCATTCCGTTGAGACAACACACCGCCAAGTCCTATATCAATTGCGTCTGTGTCAACTATAAAATCTTTGCTTGCATCAGGATATCCCAAAATAGGTGTTTTGCACAGACGGTCCTTGATCTCCTGGAATGCGATATTGCAACTTTCATCCCAGCAGAAATGTCGCTTCTCCTCGGTTAGCTTATGTAGAGGTTTGGCTATATCTGCAAAGTTGTTCACAAATCGCCGGTAATAGGAGCACAAACCCAAAAATGCTCTAACCTGCGTCTTGTCTTTTGGAACCGGCCAATCCTTGACAGCTGCGATTTTCTCTGGATCCGTGCGGATACCTTCTTCCGACACTACATACCCCAAAAAGTTGACTTGCCGTTTGAATAGTGAACATTTCATCAGACTCAACTTGAGGTTGGTACTCTGAATCTTTACGAGCACGCGTTCCAGGTTTTGAAGGTGTTCCTCAAACGTACAGCCCACGATAATGATGTCATCCAAGTAGACCAGACAGGCATCGCCAGTTAGCCCGGTAAGTAAAGCTCCATCAGCCTTTCAAACGTAGCTGGAGCATTGCACAATCCAAACGGCATTACTTTAAATTGCCACAGATCCTTTCCCGTCGAGAATGCAGTTTTCTCCTTGTCTTTAGGGTCAATTTCAACTTGCCAGTAGCCACTTTTTAAATCCAGCGTGCTAAACCACTTTACTCTTGTAAGCACGTCCAGCGTGTCATCAATTCTTGGCAAGGGATAGCTATCCTTCTTTGTAACGTCGTTCAGACGGCGGTAGTCAACACAGAACCACATGCTGCCATCCTTCTTCTTTACCAGCACCACGGTGAATACGATGGACTAGAGGAAAGTTCAATAACACCATCCTTCACCATTCCTTCAATCATGGTTTCTACTTCCTTTTCACGTGCTACCGGCAAACTTCTTGGCCGCTGACGGATAGGTAATTCTTTTCCTGTTTTTATTTTGTGTTGAACTAAGCCAGTCTTTCCTATGTCAGCATCGTTTGATGAGAATACATCGGCGTGCTTGAGTAACAACTTCTTTGCCTTGACCATTTCGTTCGGGGAGAGAACGCTGCGACAGTCTTCTAAAAGTGTGCTCACTCTCGTTTGTGCATCCTTGCTGGAGTTCCCAGTCGATAGATATTGGCACCGACGTAGCCAATCTACTTCCTCACAAGTACCAACTAGTGTGCCTTTTTCTATAATCTGTTCCTGTTCACAAAGGTTCAGCACACGTACTCCTGAGATGTTAGTGGTCCTGACAAAGGTTCGAGCCACTTTCCATGGAAGATCATTGTCTAACCTTTCCACGAGTACACAACGATGAGGTTGTCCAGGATTCCGAGGAAGACTAACCGGCACAATCGTTTCCGATCTCGGCGGAAGAACAATCTTCTTAAGGCTGTACACGTTCCCTGCTAACGCCCCTTCCACAAAATGTTCCTCTTGTCCACACTTCAAAACACCTTGCTTAACGTCAATTACACAACAATTCTTCCTCATGAAGTCCAGGCCCAGGATGCAGTCGTCCATTATATCAGCCACGATGACATTATGCAGGTAGATCATGTTGCCTAGCTTCAACTCCATCACTTTCTCTCCACGGACGGGAATACGCTGACCGGTGGCTGTTACCAAATTAATGCGTTCTCGGTTGTATGCGGAGTCCCCAAGGAACTGACTTATAAGTTGGGAACTAAGAACCGTACGAGAGGCTCCAGTATCTATGGTCAGTTTACACGGCATTCCGTTGACCTCGCCCTTGATGATCAGACTGTTCCCATCATGGATTTGTGAGATCAAGATCCTTGGGGCTCTTTTAACATCAGCCAGCACCCGCCCCACAGTTCTGGCTTTTACTCGTTTCCCTGCTGCTGCTGGGTGGTGCTGTTGGCCGCAATACCCTCCTGAGATCGTTCAGCTTCCCTTTCTAGGGTTCGCTTAGGGCAGCTGGATCGAAGATGGCCCCTTTCCCCACAGCCATAGCACCTAGGGCTGTATCCTTTGTTACGGTCGCGAACTGTAGTTGCTGCAAACTCCCTGACGCAATGGGAACGATGATCCTGCGGCACGGCTTCCACCTCCAGTGCATGGGCCAAGGCGTCCTTAAACGTCTCGTGGTGCGCGAGAATCACAGCAGCTCTGACTTCCAGGTCGAGGATGCCGTCCATGAATGTCTTCACTAGGTTCCCTTCAATGAGCGCAGGTACAGATCGGTATTCTTTTCGCACCAGCTTCTCCACTTCTAGAGCCCACTGCTGCAGGTTTTCGTTGAAGCGATGCACGCGATATTTAAGCTGCGCACGAAAGATGTATTCCAGGTGAGCGTCACCATATCTCGCCTCCAATGCATCAAGGAGCTGCTCATAAGTCACTTCCTCACCGAGAGCTTCCAGAACTGTTAAGGCCTGGTCGCGCAGGACTAGTGTGAGAGCAGTCACGGCCTGACTTTTATTCCAGCCGTTCGCCTTCATAACAGCTTCGAACTGGATTTTGTATGCCGATCAGGAAGAAGTCCCATCGAACGGCGGCACCTTGAAACCACGTAGCGAAGGTGTTGTGGCTACTACGGGAGCTGTAATTCCGTCCCCCCGTTTAAGGTCGTCCAGCGTTTTCTTCAGCTATCACGTAATCAACCCGATTGTTCACTTGGTCGATTGGGTTTTAGCTTCCTCGATTTGGGTTTCAGCTTCCGACAGGCGGTTGTCATGTTGAGCAACCCTATCCTTCACCTCCCTTATCTCTTTCCCGAAGTTAGCGTGAATGTCCTTCACGAGAAGCATCTGCTCTTCCTGTCGGTGGGCCTGTTCTTCCTGCTGCTCTTTCAACCAACGGGCCTGCTCCTCCTGTCGGCGAGCCTGCTCCTGCAGCATCACCATCAGAGCACCTAAGTCAGGTGCTGCAGATGTAGGAGCTACTGACGGGCCCCCAGCCGGAGGCTGGCCCTCCGACGTCTGCGGCGTTGCACCACCAAATCTTCTTTGGTCCGTCTCCTGCTGGCGTTGACTTCGGGTACGGACACCCTCCGTTTCCTCCTTAGGTAAAATCAGCATGATTTTATCCCACTTCTGACACCAATTGTTACGAGCTTGAGGTTCGTGACAATAAAAATTGCCGATAGAATTACCAAAATTAACTCTTTAATTCACTTTACACTAATTAAAACTTAAAAGTTTAATAATTAATCACACTAATTCACTTTATTCCGCTCCGAAGCTTCGTTTGTCTCGCCAAATTCAATACTTCCCCAATCGCACCTTGCAGCGCCTATAAATAAACATTAGCACCGAAACATCCAGAACATTCGCGCACCAATCGACAAGGCGTCGAAAGTTCGAGTGTCGGCTTCTAGAAGCTTAGTTCTTCGTTTTGACACCAGATGGCAATGTCTGTTGAAAGATTAGTGATGTCATTTTCTGGAAAGCTCCCCCCACTCTTGTCCCTGACACTACATGACGTCAACTTAGAGGCGCAACAATAGTATATGAAACAGTGGTTTTATCAGTTTTAAGTAAAATTGCACATCATAGGTATTATTTGGACGTAGTAACTATTTTGATAATATATTGATTTGATTAAAAGTTTCACCTCGAGCGCACAGCGCGTAAGTATGTTATACTAGCGCCTTAAAATCAAGAATCCAACGTTCCTTCGCATGAATTCGTATCTAACAATTATATTGAACATATAAGTAAAACGCACAGCACACAATCGTCAGAAAGATAAATGATTATTAAATTTTTTTTTGAAATCGATTA